TTCTTCGACAACTCCTCGGGTACGAGACAGGGTACATGCGACTTGCAACGGCTCCAGCGGCGGAGTCGTCTATCACGACTCTTGCCATATCTTCCGACTGTACTCTCCTGGCTGGATGCGGTGCGCTTTAATGGCGGCTTTGAATTCCTTCCATTGTTCGTTCATATCCTGCCTCCGCAAACAGGCAGGGATGGTGTGTATCTATGGCTGCTCCCAATCATGCGGCCAGTACCGGTGCCGACCGACTTCGGATTCTGGTCAAGGGGTACCGTGGTGTGTGCGAAGTGGGCCCCAGAGCGCTCGCCACCGATCTTGGCGTTCGGAACCAGCACAGGATGCTTGACTCTGTGGTCGCAGGAATCGGCGGTAAGCATAACGTCCTTGATCGTCCCTAGTTCTAAATCAAAGATCCAAAGGGCGTACAAGCCGTGCCGCTTATGGCGGAGCGATTTCAGCGCCAAGTTTCGACCGCCGAAGCAGTAACTTGTCTCAACTGGTCGATTTCCGCAACACAGATCCCCCTCCTAGCCGTTGGAACGAACGACGGATATATTCATTTGCTGCTGATCCAGGACGCCAAGGACCCAAAAACGATATGGTCGGTAGAATGCCATCCATACGTTCGCCCTTTACAAGTAGGGTTTCCAACCGTTGGACGCGATGAAGTCTTGATCCTGGGCAGAGACCACGGTGACATGTACGTTGAATAACACTGATCCGCCTTCACTTTAACTGACAACACATCGCAGTGTGTTGCTCGGCGTGAAAGGTAACCCATTGAGTTCATCGGCCGCCAACGCAATTCTGTAAGTCCCTCCCGTTGGAGGACCACTGTTCTCCTTCTGAACGACACGATCGAGTGGCTCCGCCGACATTAGGAGCCTGGAGACCGGCGACGGAGCAGAACTGGTGGTGCAAGAGCTCGCTGGCGCCTATCGCATTCACCATTACCGGCACGGCAAACTCGCTCACATCCGCGAACTGGTGACTGGGCAGAAAGGGTTTCCACCGGCCAACACCAGACAAGTTCGTTCCGGGGACGGAGGACGAGAAGTGTTGATTGCAAGTGACCACGGCATTATTTACGTCTTCGACAAGCTATCCGGCAAAATCGCCTTCAAGTTGCGCCTTCGCTCCTCATCCTCTTCTCCTGCGATCACGGTGAGTAACCATATCCCACACAAAACATGCACGTACATACCCTCAGACCGACGTCCAGGCCGGAACCACCCCACAGTGGGCATTCATCGCCTCGAGTGGTGTTTACAAAGGGAAGGGCTTCATCAACGTTTGGCGCCGTCCCCGAACGGCGGTCTCCGCTACTGACGCGGTTTGCCTCAGCGTGGCACGCAAATCGACTACAGAGCCGATGCCGAAATCCGGATCCCGCGCGGTATTCTTCGCCATACTGATATGGTCGGCCGTGGGCTTGCTGGCGTTCATCAACGTAATGTTGGAGACCTTTCCTGCAATCAAACAATGGGTTAGTCTTGTTGTCTCTAGAAGGACGCGAACACTCACGTCATGATAGATATTGCAAGCGCGATTTGGAGCACCCCAAACCGCTTCCAAAGCGCGGATATCGTGGGCCAAATTTATGACGGAACTGTGATTGCGATCGACTGCCGGCATAG